CAGTCATATCAGTCAATATGTTTAATACTATTATTATCTTTGGAAACTTAAATATCATTGTTGACCTCGCATACTCGTAATAAGTCTTGTTATGACTTCTATAATGAATTTGTCGTTTCATGGATGTACAGTCTCTACAAAGCTGTAGTGTATAAGCTTCAACTGGCAATTCTTTTCCTATCGCTTCAATTGATAATGATGAAATCGTATAAAATTGATGAAGCAAGAGTTCCCAAGCATATACATTGCGCTTGTCCATAGGTGACTCGATTAGGATATGAATAACAAATTCCCCCAAAGGGGCTACGTTTTCATTTGTGATGTTTATCAGTGACAGCGGTGCGGACAAGTCATCAGACAGGTGAATAATATCGCACGAACGTTGAGATATACATATCGACCCAACTTCTATATTGTTTCTAATAAAAGTTTTAATGTCTGGATAATCTATCATGTTATATTTTACGCAATTTTCAAAAATTCTATTCTCTCTGTTCTCACCAGAACATATCTCATCCAAATCCAGTTCGCAGGTCTGCTTCAACAATGTGCATTCATGATATATGGAACGTGAATCGTGCTCCCTGCATATGTTGATGGATGAGCATTCTTGGCAAGGAGGAGGCAGGTTCTTTTGTTTATAACAAATGAAACACGATTTAGGGAACAAGAACATTTGCTTTTCGTACGGCTGCAAATCGCGCTTTAACAGTAGTCTGATATTTTCTATGTTTTTGTTCTTGAAGTTGGCCCATTCAATCCGCGTTTTACCACAAAAATTTCTTATGTCTCGGAACAAACGTAGTGTTACTATTGCGTTACAGATTTGTGCGTGCTGTGTTTCATGCAGCGTCAAATGCTGGACGCTGCAATAAGAGATCATATAGCACGACAAACATTCTATCAAATTATCACTCGCTTTTTTGCAGACATGACAGAGATTCGGATGGAAAAAACTGTTGTAATTTGCAGCCGGTCTTACTTGCAAAGATGATGATGCGTGTGCTAATGAAGTTGCCATATTTCTGTGGAATTGCTGTATAGGAACGTTTTCTGTATAAGAATGGTTTGCAAATAACGCACAATACTCGGCAAATTGCGGATATACGAAGATTGTACTTACTGGAATAGATGTTGATCTGATGATTGCTTGAAGGACATTATTAATACCATTACTATTACTGTTATATATAGGTACTGAAATGTATGTGTTGTTGTGGTTTTGTACATGTACCTCTACTTCGGAGAATATTAGTAGCAAAATGTACACCTATAAACAACAATTAGTGTTGTGATATAAAAGACTTTAAGTTGTATTAAATTGCAAGCTAAAATGTACCAGATAACTACTTTTTGTATACGCGGCCCCGCTTCTCTCTCTCTCTCTCTCTCTCTCTCTCTCTCTCTCTCTCT